AGCCGAGATCTTTCTCGATGGCAAACATATTGAGTTCCATACGGGGCGTATGAGCAATGTGAGTGCCACAAAGGGTCGTTGTTTTTTAAAGAATATAAGTGTTATACGAGGCGTGTGAGCCATGTATTTAATGCCTATAGGAGCCACTCTGCCCTGGCAATTCATAATTAACCATATCAGCAGGGGCGTACACAGGGCGTATGAGCAATGCGTTGCACTTGGCCAACCAAGCAAAGTCATTCAAAATGTCCAGCACATTTGGCCGGCGCAACTTTCGCCCATTGTTTGGTTGTTTTCGTTTTTTGTGTTGTACTGCTGCTGCATTTTGCATTAAGTCAAATGTTTTAATTAAAATGGGAAAACTTTTCCAATTAAGGGTGAACCGCATAAAAATTATCAATGCAAAAGCTGGCTTTTTAATTTCTGTATTTTGGCCGGCATATTAGTGCTAAATGGGAACTGTGACTACTTCAACGTGAGTGTCACTGTCACAGTTCGCGTCACGGTGAAGTTCCTTTTTGGACTAGGCAAATTAATTAGCTGCAAAAAGGCGGCAAGAGTGTTGGCAAAACTTTCATAAACTCGGTAAGCTTGCTAATTGCGTTTGTAGGAGCGTGTTTAACTTGCGAAAACTGTAACTTAAACGAGGCTAATTAGTTGAGAAACCGGCTTTAAGCTTGCAGGAAATACGCAGTGGGAAAAGTGCATCGATAATAATAATATTCAAGGGAAATATGTGCTCGGCAGTGCATTCATAGCGGGCCTGCGGGAAAAGGTCCTTTCGCCTGTTTCCTGTTTCCTGTTCCATTCCTCCATCGCTCACCTGGCGCAGAGATTAAGTTTATGTGGCGCCGTGTCGTTCATGTGATTAAGTCTCGGCCGCACTGCAAATTGCTGGAGGAAGCCGTGCGCTTTCATTGCAATTAAGCCGCAACTGCCACATAATGATAAAAAGAGGGTCCTGCCGGCATAAAGGAGTGCAGAGTGCAGAGTGCACAGGGGAGGGGGTAATGGGGGTAAAAGGGGCTTAAGCCTGCCCCAACGAATCCACTTTCTCACTAGTTATGGCCAAGATTGCTGCCATTCCGCTCTGGGCTTTATTTTCTTTTTATTTTGCATGTGGCACAAGGACACTTTTGGCTTTCTAACTGGGTTACCATCGTTATGGCCCGTGAAAATTAAAGCCATTCCAATGGGTCCGTGTGCCTGCTTAAATGTCTCGACTCAATTGTCAGCCATGAAGGCAATGTAGCCAACTTTTGATTGCTTGACAGTTCCAGTTAACAAATGTGCCGTTGAAGTTCAAAAGTGTAACACAAACTTTCGGCTTTGGTTCTCTATAAATACTATACTATATTATACTGCTGGTTCTTGACAAAACCTTAGTTATTTAAAATTAAAATAGTGATTAGTAATATTTTAAAATTGTTTAAATTTGGAATTCTTAAAAAATTAATGATCATCGTATTTAAATATTAAACTGTGATCTAGATAGGACGGGTTTTTTCGAAACTAAAACATGTGGGATTACAACTATTAAATAGTGATGAATTTTAAATACTTAAAAAAACAAACCTTATATACTTCTTTTAGAAGAACATAGGTATTAGTGCTTACCTACGACTCCTAGAGAATGTAATTTTAAGATTTCAGTGATAGTACCTTCTAAAGTTCGGACCCTAGACTGAACCCCTGATAAACTGTGGATTTTTGTATAGTTAGCGATTATTACAGTATGTGCTGATACATAAATTTAAGACTCATTTGCAAAAAAAGGTATAAACTGCTAAAATGTCTCGACCCGATTGTTAGCCATGAAGGCAGTGTTGCCAACTTTTGATTGCTTGGCAGTTGCAGCTAACATGTGTGCCGCCAAAGTTTTAATAAGCAGCCAAAATGGTGGCCCATTTTCACCTGCCTCATCTCCACCCCCACCCCAATTCCCACGCACCTGAGCCTCTTTTGGCCCGGCCTTAATAGTAATTAGCACACAGCAGAACGCTGCTGGCCATTTGGCATTCTGAAGTGGTCAGAAGCCATCCTGCATTGCAGTTCTGGCCGTGACGTGGCACGGAATGTGTTATATATGGTACTCGTGCCGGGTGAAATCTGCGCCTGTGTTTCAAGATTTCGCTGCCCATTTATCAGCCAAGAATGTGCTGAAAGTTTTCGTTCATTTTATTTTCCGGCTCTCAGTGAATTCAGTTTTTTTCGTAACTTGGTTTCTTGGTCCTTTTTGCCCAGTTTGGTGGGCAAATGCTAACGGGTTTTAACGGATTTGGCCCGGGAGCAGGCAGCGCATTGCACAATTTTAGAGAGATGCCTTTTTCGGTTCGCTTTCGGTGGCAGCAACGTGCAGATTTATTGCATTCAACTTTCGTGTGACTTTCACAACAAACTTTTATGTCTTGAAACTTTTCAAGTTTACTTAAGCAACAAAAGTTTGTCCTCGCCCATTCAGATTTTTCCCATTCTCGTCGAATTTATTGCCAAAAACACAGAGCCATCGGAGCTTAAGCGAAGCCAAAAAATGAAGTGTTGGTAATATGCTATGAATTATGCGCATTAAATTTCGAGTGTACGCGTGTGTGTGTGAGCCATAAAAGTTTGCGGTTTTTCCGCTGATTCGCGCTAATGAGGCGATGATGCGTGTGGAGAACGTCTGCATCCGGCGGAAATGGGTCTCTCGATTGTCGCCGTAAATCATTCGATTGGCAGCCATCGTATCGAGGTATCGATTTCCTGCTTTCTTTCGAACATAACTCGCAAAGCTCGCATTAGAATTATTAAAATTCCTGCTGTGGTTTCTCTTTTTCACATGCCACACACACACTCAGAACCCACAACCACTTCGTGTAGAAGTATCATGTATAGGTATGGCTTTCACTTGGCTGACTGTGCCATTTGGCAAATTAAAAATATTTTGCCGCAGGGGGCGGAGGGGCGGCTCCGCACGCTCCATGTCGACTGGCAAAAAAAAAGATGGAGAAATATAAAAACGTAACCAGAGTGGAAGTGGCAGCCACAACAGTGGCAACAAAAATGAGCAAACATAGCATATTTATGCCAAACAAAATCAATATCGAAAGTGGCACACAAAAACTAAGGGGAGAAGTTTCGGGGGGAAGGCTGGTTGCACCGACATTTGAAATATTAGCCAGACCCAAATATCCTCGCGGTGCTCCAAAAACACACATATCACACAGCATCCGATAGACATTTTCCGTTGAAAGTTAACAAATGGAAAATTTAATGCAAGCCTTGGTAAGTTCTATCTTTAAATTCGCAAAGGGAATATTTCAGCTATTCGAATGTAATATCTTCGTTTTTGTTTTCTGTGAATTCAAATGTGGTTATAGAGAGAGCCGCATTAGTTTCTGAATAACTCTGTCTTACAATAATAAATGTTTTTGCAAATACTTGCAGAAATGATACTCACATTACCGTTGTATGAAAATATTTGAAGATTCAATTTTGATTAAATAAAGAAGAAGTTCGGGATAAGTACTGATTAATCTTAAAATTTAGATGGTATTAGCTCTTAAATTTTGTGTTTTATAGTTAAGGATTATTACTATTCAAATAAGTTACAGATTAGTCGATAAGGTTGAAACTTATTTATTGATAACAATATTATTCGTATCTGCTTTTAGAGAATCCAAACAAATATCCTTATTTTACCTCATAAATCATACTCATGTTTAATTTCCAAGCATAACATAAATCGAATTATTGCCAACTTTATAGTTTTTATAGACTTAAAATTGAACTAAATCAAATTAAATTTATTTGGTGTTCCTTCACACTGATTGATCAGCGTACTCAATACCGTGTTGCATCGATTCAGAGTGCTGAAGTGAGTCTCCAAAGTAACTGCCAAGCCATTTAAGTGCAGGAAATTGAATTCCGAAATGCTCACGTCGATTGCTGAATGGATGCTGCTGATGTGGATGATACGAATCTGCGGCAACAACTTGTTGTTTGAGCCAGGAGCGGCGTCTCTTCAGTGGCTTCGTCCTTTTCAATTAGGAGCACCCATCTCGACAATTTCCCGTTCGCCGGAGCGAGGCGGAAATTATGGCACGCCCATTTTAATCATTCGCCATTTCCGGCGCACAAATACACCGTCGAATGTGTATAGTGAAGTTAACGAATCTCCGGCTGGATGTGGACCCGAATCTGAATCTGAATCTACTGAGCTGGTAAAGTTTTGTTGGCAATTTGGGCATCTTACTTGTAAAGCTGGTCAGAAATGCAGGCCAGGGATTCCGCCAAGGGATTTCCAGGACAGCGCTAATTGCACTCCTCAGCAAGGTGAAGGAGGTGCCTTCTGAAAAAGCAGGCGATTCGAAATACGAAATGAAGGGCGGAGTACGACAAATTCCGTGGGCACAGAAACCACGCAAAATTTATGGTTTCAATTAAAAGTTTCACCATTTCCGTTCATTTGCGGCACAAACAAGCAGCCAGCGGCAAGTGGCAAGTGGCAGGCTGCCCCGTTGCAAGGTCAGCAGGGGAAAGCCGGAGGGGAACGCAATACGGTAATGAGCCTGGACAAAAGCGAGGCCCAAAAAACTTGTTACTTTTGCAGCTCAGCGCTTAGGAAATGGACAAAGTTTCGACCATCCGGCCGGCAATAAAAATGTGAATTATGAGAAATTTCTAGCTGAAATTTACTTCCTCCTAGTCGTAGAAAAAAATATCCCCAAATTTGGTCATCGATCGGGTAGTTTTTTATAAAGAAAGAGCTTTGGAACTTGGCTTTCTAAATGTTATTTTCTTCTTTCCCTTTTATCCGTTTGGATAAATACATTTTTCTTTATCTAAAAGAAACCATTAAATCGAATTCCGGGGAGAGTAATAATATGAACAGGCCTAAGGAATATTAAAATAGATTTTTTGAAAACTTTGATCTTCAAATTTGTATGTAAATACCACCTTAAAATATGAAAATAGATTTCTTGAGAACTTAGTTAAAACTTATTTTTTTATTGGTATTTTCAAGGCTCATTTCGAAATTGTATGTTCCATTGCCTGTGTACCGAGTAATTATTTACGACTTTAAGGATCCACTCGATATAGCTGGTAACCCGAGTATAAACCCCCGGACTTCGGCACTCCGTGCTGCCGAAACTAACGATTCCAAGTTGCACGTACCGCAGTTGACCATCAATGGAAACCTGGTGGACCAATGGACCTCCAGAGTCGCCCATACAGGTGTCCCCGATGGGATGTCCTGCACAGATCTGGCTCTCGGTGGTCCTCACCCAAAAAGCGTTATAGCAATCAGATGCATCCAGTTCGTTCAGCTCCAAAATCTGTAACACCCTCGCTGTTTTCTCGTTTTCCGTTTTTCCCCAACCTGCTGCTCTGTAGGTTCTGACGATGGGTACTTTTGTTGGATCCGTGAGGATGCAAACGGGCCTAATGAAGGCTATACAAAACACTTTATAGAAAACCTTTCCAACAATGGAGTGCACAACTTACCGTTAAACTGCACTTCTGGGCCCACCCTCAGTATCCCTATATCATGGATATGCTCTGCTTGCTTATAATGCTTATTTCGAAAGGCCTTGGTCACTGCGAAATCCCAGGATGTACTAGACCTGCTCTGCGAAAAATATTCTCCAAGGCGCACGGCACTGGAAAGAAAGAAACTGACCATATGAAAGATTATCTCTTGGTTTTAAGAACAGAACTTACAGAATGTCGTCATTAACAATGCAGTGAGCTGCAGTCAAAACAAATTCTGAAAAATATCGTTTAACATATAAGAATTACTTGTCAATCGGTGGTATTCGATTGTAACCTTTGTGGATAAGAGTTCCGCCGCATACAAACTCAGTTACACTCTCATTGCTAGTCTTGTAAATGTATGCCATCCAAGGATTGGCTCCGTGCTCTGCATCCTGGCCATGCATTATTTTAGGCGTAATGCCTGAGAGACCGCAATTTGGTTCCAGGAACTGTGCCATAGCCCCTGACCAAAGAAAAACGATCCCGAAAATCGCGAGGAAAACAGCCATATCTTCCTTCCCTGAGAACTTCAAACGTACTGATACCATAAGTGCTTACATTCATCGGTTGTAATCTCTTATTCAGTTGCTTATCAACATTACATTATATTATATTTCGAAGTAAGCATTGACAATCTCTTTTCCTGGAACGCCTTGCTTCTGTTTTTGTAAATTAAATTGATACCATGATATTTTAAACCTTTTCAGCTTCATCTGCATGAAAATGCTGGAAAATGCGCGAATGTGTAAGCACTGTTTGTCATATCGTCACTAATTGAAGTGCAAATATTGATGAGTGCCTAGCAAGTGCAAACGCGCTCCGCTAATTTGCACAATTCTCTCGTTCCGCCGCATAATGCGCCGCAAAGTATGCCACCCCAAGTCAATGCCACGCCCCCTCCGCAACCAGCCCACAGCCCACAGCCCCCATTCCGCCAGCCACGCCCACTGGCATTTCCAGTGTCGAATGCAGCTGCAGAAATGCAGAGCATCCAGGAAATTTGCGATGGGCGACGACTGACAGACACACTAAATGCTGGCACAGGCAGACTCAGCAGAATTTCAAATTTATTCAAATCAACCCGTTCGAGGGGCGGAGGGGCGGTAAGGGGCGTGGCAATGAGCAACGGCAGTCGAATGAATGATTCAATTAGGCATCAAATATTTACAGCAGACGTTTAAATATTGCGACAGACATCAAGTCGGTCTGATATGGCCGGAAAATCTCTCGAGCTGAGCCGAGATTTCCTCGAGAACTTTTCTAATTGGCCGCTAAGTGCGTTCGGTAGCCCTTGAGCTCTGTCTTTCACTTTTCCAGGACTTGGGGAGAGTCGAAAAGTGGGACAAACGGGGTGGAAGACAGCTGCATTTTGACGAGGGCACCAAGAGTTCAATATGCACACTGCATAAATAAGCAAATAACTTTGCCATTGTTTCCCCAAACCCCTTTTACCATTTCCATTTTCCAGCCCAAAGGCAGTTGAAGTCCCAGTTTCTGTCTCGATTCGATTCTCTGGGCTCCAATAGTTTTCTTTTAGATTTATGAGTTTCTCCAATACAAAATAGTTGTATGAATTCCCTTTCCCCCCTGTGTGTGAGTACGCTTGTTCAATTCAAATAGTTTGATTACAAAAGTTTTCCCATCGAACATTGGCATTCGGGCAGGTGGAAATGCTGTTTTTTGCCTGGCGAGTACCTTTTTTTTGCACTGAGGAATATTATTAATTTAATAGGAGACTAGAGGATCTCCATTTCTCCTGCCCTGCAACATTTATGTAATTTAATTGGATTTGATTTGCAAACATTTTGCCAGCAGGCAGCCAGTCAACGTGGCCACGCCAAGTTGTCGTTCAAGAACTTGAGCACTCCAAATATTTTCATAATTTTTATCACGATTGTAATTCTCGCCGAAAAGTTTTTGCATTCTCGTTGGCAAAGTTGTGCTGGGCCAACTTTCATCGTGCCCGAGAAAAGTTTTGGCTGCTGACAATGAGCTCACAGCAGATTTCTGAGTTAATTTCCAGCATCATTTTGGCTGGAGCTGCCGCTGCTGCGCTTTGTATTGTGTGCAACTTTGTCGGCAATAACAATAACAATTGCCAGTACACGCTGCACGCACTGTTAATAAGCCAAATTATAGAGCCGCAGAATGGGCTGAAAGCTGAATGCTGAATGCCCCACGTTGGGCGCCAACTAATTGGTGCTTAATGCGGATACTTACCAGCAAAGTTGGCTTTAAGCCGCCGCGCCTTATCAATGTCGGCCCAAATGGATCTCGCTGACAGACAGGCGAACAATGCCATTAATCAAGCGCCCTCAAGGTGTTCTGGCTTTCTGCTGCTGTTTTTTCACCACTCCGAACTTCGAATTCCCCAACTCACATGTCACATGCACGAAGGATGGGTACGGGGGCACGTTTCGATTCCGCCCACTTTGGATACCACATGGAGCGACAGTTTTTCCTGCTGCTTTCCATTTCCCACTGAAAATAGGAAAGAAGCAAAAAAAAAAGAAGGTGCCCCGCCCCCTTTTGCCCCCCAAGTGCTGACAGCGATAAATTCTAATGCCGGGTCAGCACTGCCAGCGACTGCCACGCCCCCCGATTCCAGGGCGTATGTGAGTGTGGGCGTAACAGTTGACCAAAGCATGAAAAATGCTTTCGCTTCCTTTGGTTTTTCCTGCTCCTTGTTTTGCTGCGGGAAATGAATGAAGAAAGGAAGTTAACTGGCATTTGGTTTTTGTTTGCCAAGGAAATATTTTTAGCACGTGTTTGGTCAATTTCTGTCCCTACAAAAACCCACCCACCATTTGAGCCACCCACTTACAAGCCAGGCACATTTGTCACTTTAAATGCAATTTGACTTGTGCCCAATGCGCATAAGTTTTCCCAGGCTTTTTCCCTCGGCCGTCTCATGCCCACTTTTGGTCGGTAGCATTTTCCTAAGGCATTCTCCCGGCAATTTGTCGTGTCTTGTTTGGGCCAGGACATGGACGACTTGGACGGAGCTGGAGTGGCGGTCAGGGAGGAGGATAGGTAGCATGCACTTGGGAGCGCTTAGGGGAGAGCTCAGCAGAATCAATTTTAAAGTGCTTCCCGGGAAGCCAGCGCAGATATTTATTGTCTGCCCAGGAATTGCAACGATTGTCGGTGGGTCTCCATCGAACACTTTTCAATCTGCATACGAAATCAGTGGCCATGCCAATTATTCCCATAGACGAACATGGGATATACAGCCTTATGTGAAATGAGTTCATTCATTTCCATACCCTGTCTATAAAGATTCATGTTTTGGTTTACTTTGATTAAACAGATATAGTTAACTTAGATTGAAGATCGTTTGCAGCTTAAAGTTAAAAACATTTAGCTTTCATAATTTTTCTAAATTTAAAACCTACTTTTATTTTACCACGAGTCGGGCCTTAGGAACCTTAGAAAAACAGAGTAAAAGTAAGATCCTTAACTTTTAATTCATTAATTTCATTAGAGTTCTAAGTTTAAAGCCTGCATTTAGTTAATCAAAAGTAGAAAAAGAACAATCCTTTCGACTTAGTTTAATTTCTTTAAATTTTTTGTTAATTTAAACAAATTTTTCCTTTAAACGTTATCGTGATGTTTGATCCCATAGCTACCGCAAGTCATTTGCCATCACCCCATAGCCAATTACCACCTGATGAGCAATGAACTCGACTGTTAAGCTGTCGATTGTGGCAAAGCAGAAATCTCGAAACATTTAAATATGCACTGAACTGGGGTCAAATTACCCCGTCCAATGTGCAACGCTTATGGGTTCATTAGGCTGTGATGTTGTAGCTGTTGCTTGGGTGTTCAATGAGCCGGAAATGTCTTCATTATGATTGCATATGGCCCAGGCGGTGAGCGGAAACGGAAGCGCCAAACTTCATTTGTTGTCTGCCTGGTGGCTGTTGCCTGTTTTTGCTGTTGCTGTTGCCCTTGCTGTTTACCAGAAGTGCGTACGAGCGTGGAAATTCGCTGGGCGCACAATCTCAGCCAGGCAGCCATGGGGGCGTATGAGTGATGGCGGCAGTCATGCAAACTGACAGTTTATTTACCCAACGCCATCATTACCGGGGCCATTGCCAGTCAATGTTTGCCGTGGGAGTCAGGGAGTCACGGAGTCATGTGTGCTGGGCTGAAATTATCGCACGATATGAAAAATTGACTGTGATTTATGCAATTATGTTAACAAAATATTTACTTGCCCACAATTGATGGACCCTCCAGCAGGATATCCATTAGAAAGACATTAGCTGGCAGCCCTTCTTCTGCTCCATACAAGTTTCATGAGCTGCACGCAACCCAAAAAACAGGACTTATCCTGGCTCAGTTGCCCGGTTTTGTGGTCAGCAGCAGCTAGTTGGCCATAATGAACTCCCCTCGGCGGATCAACTTCGACAGGAAGAGGGGCGAACAAAACTTTGTTGTGTTTATGAGTTCGAGCCCCCCAGTTTCAGTTTCAGTTTTCCTGGCAATCCCCTGGCCCCAAGCATCGATGGCACTTCACATCGACTTGTCAGGAACAGCCGATGGCAAGTTTTTTGATGTGTCAGCTGGCGGGGAAATGGTCAGGGTGGCTGGGACGTAGGTACAATCTAATAAACGAGCTGGCAAAAAAGAATAGCAAACTTTCACTGACCTCTGTGGGCTGGTGTGTGAACTCTGATGAAAAATCTACCCGTACCATTGAGGGACCTTCTCCCCACTCACACACGCAAATTGAAATGAATAATAGAACGTCGTGAGCCAAGAAAAACAACCCAAATGAGACCCATTGTTGGTAGTTGGTTGGCTGCCTTTGTTGCCCAGTGTCCCTGGGGTGTGCGTGGTGCAGGCCAAACAAACAAAGTGAGAAAAAGTTGACACATTCACTTACCAGATTAAAATGGAGCCAAGGCCACACGGAGAAAAATGCCGAGTAATTAGGTTGGAGGAAAAATTCAAAGTGCAGATAAATATCCATATGCCTTTAAAACTCTATTTGTTGAATCACAAATTTGTAGGTATTTGTCAGAAATCTCAAGATGATTTTGAAATCACTTATAAGGGTCTCTAAAAGTATCCAATGAATATACAAATGTGGTCTTTCGATCTAAAAACGTATTTGTTGCATACTTTTAGACACCTTTATAAGTGATTACGCTCCTACCCTAATAATACTGCGATTTCTTATAAACATCACTTATAAGGGTGTCTAAAAGTATGCTGTAAATATAAGAACATTGTCTTTCGATCTTAAAACATATTTCATTTATAAGTGATTACGGTCTTGTCTTAATGATTTCTGCGATTTCTTATAAACACCACTGTTGAAGGTGCTTAAAAATATGTAGTGAATATAACAAATAGCCTTTTCATCTTAAACATATTTGTTGCCTTTCTTATAAACACGGTTAATATAATATGGTTATTAGGGAGTAAGGATGATAATATTTATTTTTCTCCCTGTAAAACACCTACAAAATTGATGGGTAATCGAAAAGCTCAAATGCACACCTGCGTCAAAG